TGAATTTAGGGACTTATTCTGCTAGTCCTTTAGACTTATCTGCTTATTTACCAAAACATTGAGGAGAAAAAGAACACCTTAGAATATACTGATAAGGAAATGTATACGTAAGATGATGCGTAAGAGACATTGCTGAGTAATTCTAATCTATTTAATTTAATATACAGAACATAGTGATTTGTGTGAAATTACGTTACCCCTGTTATATGTCAAATCTGTTCAGAACAGCTGCTTTGCATTTCATATATCATAATAGCATAGACTGTAGAGTTCCAATGTTTAATTTTTTTTTTGCATTACGGTCATACTTCAGCTATGCAAGCTTGTTCATTGTTGAAATAGGGCTGGTGCCTCCATCACCCACTTGCTGCTGAAGGTCATCTAAGGGTTCTGAGCCGAGGATACATGAGGAATGAGTAGCCCTCATTAAAAAGGAAGGATAAACCAGGATTAAGAATTCTTGCAGGGAATATTTTTCCTAACAGGCCTAACATTCAGTGCTGTTTTACTCAGAAGAACTGGGAAAGCTCAAGATGATCGAAGCTTGACATAAAGTTGAATTGGTATCATGGTGGCTGGCTAAAGGGATTGTAATTAAATGAATTTTCACCAACACAGGACTTACAGCAGAGATGTGGTTCTGTTCATGTTGGTTGGCCAAGTACTGGGGACTGCTGACTGCAGTGTCACATCTAATGTCTTAAACTCTAAATTCAGAATGCTACTGAAATCTGAAAAATTGCTCCCTAGACCTAAAAACCCCATTTTTTTTTTTTTTTTTCTGGACAGTTATTGGCATTGATAGTTGGCCATACTGGGCACCAGTGCTAGCATCAATTTGTACCTCTGACTTTATCACAGGTCCAAGGATTAAGATATTGCCATACAGAGTGCATGACTCATTTGTCCTTTTAGGGTCTGCAATGGTGTAATGTAAAAGTACCATTTTGGCAGTTGGGTCTTGTAGCACTTTTAGCATTTGGAAGCCAAACGCTCCAGAAAATGCATTTACACTGCATTTAAAGCTTGCATGTAACTAAATCTTGTCAGAGAAAGTCTTTACATAATGCATCAACATATGCTTGTGTTTCTTTTTTAGTACAGTCTAGCTATATAATGGATTGGAGTGGCTTTTCTAAGTTATTTGAAATACTCATAGGCTAAGCTTGCCTTTAAAATAGTGTCCAGATTCCTAAAACACCTGGGAAAGAGAGAAATGGACCAGCTTGGATTTCTGTAGAACTTTCTTACCTAGTAGTTCACTTCCTTTTTCTTCCCTTTTCTTTCAGCAGTGAGAAGCTTATATGTTAGGAAAATAAAATGTTCCTAATTCTGAATATTCCTAAATCCAAGGCTTGCTATAAGACAAAATCTTTATCTGGAAGTAAAAGTTCAGAGAATTCTATCCTAAATTTCTCTGCTGCTTTGTAAAGTATACGTGTTTTCATTGCCTTAGCAGCTGAGCTATTAAGAGATGACTTAACATAAGATTATTTTTCTTCTAAAATTTGAATGCTTTGGGTTTTCGACCTCGAGTCACAGTGCATATGTTCTCTTGATATAGCCAGCATTAAGCATGTGGAGAAGCTCTTAGGATCTATTTTCTACCACCTGTGATAATTAAAAAAAAAAAAAAGTTTTGCACTTAGGCTGCTAGTTTTCTAGTGAGTTTTGCTCATTTATTTGTTTTTCCAATGGACTGTAAAGTTTTGGAACTTCATTCATTTTCATTTCCAACAGTTATTTTCATCAGGAAGAAGTGATTGCATGCAGTGCATAGTTCTTCCAGGATTGTCTTTGATTACTGTCCACATGCATAGTGTATCTTATAGCTTGACTTACCCTCTGAATTAGATTTTCTGCTAGAGGAGGTTGTTTGCTCTATGAGCCATACTATCGACTGCCTGTCAGTCACTCCAAAAGAGTGACTTACAAAAGAGTAAAGATTGAGCAAAACAAGAAGAAAAATAAGTCAAATTTTCTCTCTCAGATGGCTATTGGTCCAGGGCTAGTCTTGGATGCCTGTTCAAGAACCTGATGAAACTTCTAATACTCGTTGGATTTATGACATGATGGGCATTCAGGGCATACTCAGTCAGCACTGAGTTTTAAAACGTTGTTTTAGCCTTAGTCTCTGTGTTCTCAGTTACGAGATATGGAAATCTGGACGTTCACCAGCTTGATGACATATCTCATAAGCAATGATGCCGTGAGATGCTGAAATAGAGATGAGAAATCAGAGCTCCAGAAGTGATTCTGTGTCTCTTTCTTTGCACAGTTAATGCACAAAGACCAACCTACGGACCAAAAATACGCTCCAGGTAATACCTATGTAATTTCCATGTCCTGATTAATTTTACTTTAGTGAGCTCTTAGATTTCTCTAAATGGATTTTTGCACTTTCAACTTATTTTCAGTTTTCCAGAGATCACACAGGAAGCTTGTGCTGCATAAGTTTCAGCAGTATGCAAAGCTGCCATCTTTTTATAGAATTTTGTCACTGCTGACATACTGTCAAATGGATGTGAAGGAAATCAGAGTATGCAACTTGACTTAAAATGTTAGGTGTACAGTGAAAGACATTTTCATGAAAAATGTCATGTCCTTAGTAATCTAGGTTTTCGACAAGGTAACTTAGCCAAGTTCTGCTGTGGTATTTTACACATTTACTGATGGTTGCTTCACATCTAAGTGATGAAGTTCTGTTGTCCACACTGTCCACTAATATTTACTAATGGTAAAAATGCCTTTGGTTTCACAGAATCACAGAATCACCCGGGTTGGAAGGGATCTCAAGGATCATGTAGTTCCAACCCCCTTGCCTAGCAGGGCCACCAAACACACACATTCAGATCAGGTTGCCCAGGACCCCGTCCAACCTGGCCTTGAACACGTCCAAGGACGGGGCATCCAAACCTCCCTGGGCAGCCCGTTCCAGGGCCTAACCACTCTCTGAACCACTTCATCTGAAGAAAGTGTTTAGAGATGTACAACTAAAGTAGATTTTTAAATTAGTGATTCCCAGAAATTTGTTGAACCATATAGCTTTTATAAAAATATAATCAATAAATTAATTCCAACAGAAGTTCCTTAAGCCTTAGCTTTTGTTAGTTTGTGGAGAAAACAGTGAACTGCTTTCTATCCTCACATCTGGAAGGAACAATCCATCATCACTTACACAAATTGTCTAATTTGATATTCCACAAGTCCATCTTCAAAACACATCCTTAAATTGCAGTGCCTACCAGAAACTAGTGGTTTAGAATCGTGAAGACCAGCTGGCATGCTATCACCTTCCTCTCCTGCCCATATGTGTGCGTTGCCTCCTGGAGCAGGAAGCAAGCAACTAGGGACAAAAACAGCATTGAGTTTGGTTTCATACATCATATGAAACAAGCATAACTGGATATTTAGCTGTAAGATAGAGGTTTTAGAAGTTAGCACAGAATCAGCAGTAATAATGTAAGGGTCGCTCTGGAGCCTGATAGCTCTGTTTTTCCTTTAGCAGTGCAATGCTCCACCTGATTCCTTCTGATTTTTTGGGGGTCACTTGTGTTCCTTGTTTTCCATGTACTTCAGAAAATGCATGTTGCATTAAAGCAGTTCTTTATAGAAACTCTTCTTTTCTTGCTGCAATGGGAAATGGTCTGCCTGCAAATCAGGTTTTTCTGTGCTGCCTTGTAAAATCAGTCATTTTCCCTTTCTAGGTTGTTCTTAGCTCTACTCCAGCCTCAGTCCTAGCCTGATTTCCATCTCTGCCCTTTCTCTTAATTCTATTGTGAATGTTCATCTTTGTATCAAAACAAAACTTCAACTTTCAGAAGCATTTAACACTTTGCTTTTCTATCAATATATGAAAAATCATCTCAGCATGGGACGTTTGCCAGTGTACTGCTAGGAGATGGACAGCTGGGCAGCTGAGGATAACTTGCAGTTGTCTCTGGTTACCTGGACACTCAGTGTCTGCCTTTTGATTTTTATGTAAGAGAAATATTGTCCCATCTTTTGTGAAGGTGACAAAATCAACTGTAGAAATAAGGGGAGAAAGTAGGAACAGTTGAGTGAGAAAGGTTGCTGAATGAGGCCTCTGAGAGGTGGAGGAAAGTTAAAATTCCAATGAAAATAACTGTGGGCTACATCCTGAAGCCTGCCCTGCTGATCTATCCTTCACTCTAGCCTTCTCACTCTCTTCCTGCTGACGTTGACCTGGCAATACAATATTCTGCCCAAATCCCACTGAGAGATAACTCACCCCAAATACTGGGGTGTTTTTCAGGATCTTCCACTGAGGTGCCCAGGGGTTTTATTGTTGGATGTCTGCACTGATGGAACACATCTTCTCAAGGAGCTCCACTGGCACTGTCATTGCCACAAAACCATAAACATGGACTTGATTTTTCTCAAGTTGTATGGCAGATTGTTGTTTTATGATGGGAAACAACCAAAAAAAAACCCCAACCTCTAATTCTTGCAAAGCATCAACAGAGGGCTCTGCAGCCTGACTAGTCCTCTTGCATGCACCACAGCTTCTGTGCCCTAACCAGGAACCACCACTCCTGCAGGGAGATGGGGTACCGGCTTTGTAAACTATGCTAGAAATACTGGGAAGATATTATTGTTCCTTTCTGAGCAAAAGGAAAGAAAAAGGGCTGTGTGATGTCCCTCTCTCAGGTTCCCCCTGCCCAATGGGGACAACATCGGTATGAGCACTGCAGGAAGTGGAGCAGGGCAGCAGCTGTATGTTCCTGTGCTTCTTTATGAAGAAGTGCTAAAATAGAAAATTAAAGAAACAGAAGTGTTTATCTGAGAGAACTACAGTGGGAAACAGTTAAAGCTTGCTGTTGTTTAATAGCAGACTCTGATTGTCCAGAATTTGCTTTATTATAAATAATAAGTAACTGTGTGGAAGTGTCTCACTTAGCAAAGCCACATATCAAAGCAGCAAAGCGGATTTGTTGCCAGCTATTTGTTTCAGTACTCAAAGGGTTTCATTGAAAGTCTGAAAAGGGAAGTTGTCTTGAGGCTTAGATCTGTAATTCCTTTCAGCATTTCCTTTTAAACTTCATGTTTACCTTCTGCAAAAAATCTAATACCACCTGTTTGGTGCAAATTTAACAGATATTTTCATACTTTAAAATTTGGCTTTTTCTCCAATCCGGAAAAGTTTTGCCCTAGACTAGGGTGACATGGTTAGCTTCTGCTGTTGCAGGAAGTGGTTTGACTTAACTTTTTTTTCTAGCTTTCTTTCTATCTTTACGAGCTGAGAGAGATTAACCCAAATGCTGGCTATGGACACGTGACCAAGAAGTTTTCCGTTTTTTGAAACAGTTAAACTGTTGCTGGTTGATGACCGTTTGAGATGAGATGACGACGTCTGCGAGGCTGTAGGTAAGGAGTCTTAAATTCATTGTTATCTAATTCAGGAAATCTGATAATGGTTTTAATAATATCTGTAACTGTGTTCTGTACGCTTTCAGTACAAGTTGTATTAGCACGACTATTTTATTGTCAATTTTTTTCATTTGAAAACAATGTGGAGAATGCTAATAAGAAATTATGCTTTAGATGTAAAATTGATATTCAGAATCTAAAAAAAAACCTGTCATATCCTCAGATATCCACAATATTTAATCATCTGTAACATCCTGAACTAATGGTCGTTTCTCCCATCTGTATCCCGTGTAAGTAGTCATCCTCAAAAGTAGAAAAGATCAGCAATACTGCTTGGGAAAATGACTTGAATTATATTTCCCTCTTACCTTGTCTGGCTGCAGCTAACCCTGTGTGTTTAAATGGCTTCCTCGCTGGTGACCGTGAGGGTTGTGATCAATGATGGTAAATTCTGCAAGAGTCAGTGAGTGGTGGAGGTTCGTCTCTAGTTGATTTTAGGTATTACTGGAGACTGAAGAGTCTCTTGCCCTGCTCCACGTCAACTAGCTTGCTACTGCTTTATTACTCATCAGTCGTTGCAGTAAAAATAGGGCATGGGGAAGTGTAAGGGTCATTGTACAAAAAATACCCCTGGTTTACCCATGGGGACTCTCAATGCATCTCTTTATGGAGTATTTCCACCACGGCTTGGTGGAAATGCTATGATAGAATGTTTCTGCATAAAGCTATTTAGATCCAGCCTGCTTTGTCATCTGCTTTGGAGCCAGCCACAAAGAAAATGAAGAATGCAAAATTAGCTTTAGATTTCTCTCCATAAGCAAGCACTGCTTTCTGGCTTTTAGAGATGTACAAAGAAATCGCAACGTTGGAAGATGTTCAAATAACACAATAGAGTGTTCTGATTACAGACACAAAGGAGAGACAAGGTTTGTTTTCCTGCTAATACATAGTTTTTGCAAACTTGGTGACATGCTCATGTTTGTAACTGATAATCTTATTACCGTTAGAAGCAACTTGTTTTTCATTTGGAAATATGGGTCAGAGTTGAAAGAAATCACACATGGATTTAAGTTCATTTTGAAATCATGTATAGTAATCAGAGACAGATTTTGGAGCAGCGTTGTAAGACTACATTTCAGATTTTCTATCTATATTTGGAGGAAAAAAAGTTGTCCTGCCTGCATACACAGCACAGACTGGGAAATTGTATAAAAAGAACACATTGTCCTCCTGGGCTGTCTGTTGTGGGTTTTATGCGACTGCTTCAATGTTTTAGAGTGATTTGAAATGCTTTTTTTTTTTTTTTTTCATAGAGCTGTGAGATTTGGTAAACTAAGTTTGGATTCTCAGATTCATTTTTTTTTAATTCTCTTCTTTGCCATTTAGCTCTTTCTGTCCTAAGGAAATTCATTTAAAAGCAGCGTTTCTTGTTCGCTTTACCTCTCAATCCAATTACATCAGTAGCACATATTTGTTCATTTTCTTTTTCAAATGGAACAACTAGCCCTAGAACTCTGTGTTTTACACTTTATACTGTATACTACAATGAAATTACAAAAGATGGCTTTTGCTGTCCAGAGAACTTCATCTCAGCTCTGTGCTATGGAGTCTCACAGACTTAGCAGCAGGAGAAGGTACCTCCTCGTGGCCTGTTTCTACCAGGTCACATGGTGCTTGGGAGGTTGTGTGCAACGTCTACCAAATTCTCTGAGGCCCACAGTGTGCAATTCTGATACTTTCTGGAAATATAACTCTGCTGCATCAGCTCAATAGCTTTGAGTTGCTAATCACTGTTGTTGAAGCCCGCATACTTGTAAAATCTTTCCCTTGATGCTGGAGAAGTCTCTCTGTTATGTGTGCTGTTAATCAGAGATCTGAAACATGATGTTTGTACTGATCCTTCCTAACCTGGCATATCTAAGTGTAGCTTGGGTTGATCTTTTAAAAACAAAAGAATGCATCACTGGAACTTCAGCCAGTTTCTGTGCATCCCATCTCTTAGATAAGACTTCTACATGGATTTACCGAATCCATTTCACAGGTGGTGGTGGATGCCATCTGTATGAAGTTGCTTTGATAACTTTCATGGTTTTCTTTGTTGATAGCTTTAGTCCTGTACCACTGAGATGGGTTGAAAGGTTGGCCTTTGACTATGTATCTATCATGATAATTTAAGTGCCATTCAGAGCACAATAACAGTTTTCTTTGCCTGATAGCACATCCTACACAAAACCACCTCCTTTTTCCTTCCTGTGGAGACTTCCAGCATCTTTTGTCACTGTGAAACTGTTTGCTGCAATGCCATTTTTGTCTCAGAGCAGGCTTTGCTTCAGCTCATTTACAACAGCACAATCTCCTGCTGAGTTTGTGTTTGGAAACCTGCAAACTTGTTATAGCTGAGGGTGCTTTAACGTTATCTGTTTCTGAAACGTTCTCACAAAATTGATCTGCATGTATCAGTGGTCTCAGTCTTATGTGTACTGGTAGCTCTTTTATCAGCATCCAAAAGAGGTGATCATTCACTCGCATAGGAGTGAGACCTTGTATTATGGAGTCTATGGACTCCCATCATCTTTATTGCTTTATTTACTTATCCTGAAGGACAGTGAGGTGGCAACTTCCAGCCTGGATGAAATAGAAGAAAATGTTTTGGGTTTTCTATTTTTTTAAGAAGGTTATGTGAATGGGAAAAGCACATGCGAGTTTTCTGAGCTTGCTTTTGCAACCTGAGCGGGGCAAATGGAACCCCTACTGGCACTCAGTCTCCTTATGTGGTTAGCTCTTGCTGGATGCTTAGTGGCTGATAATTGTTTAAGGCACGTACATCATGACATTCCAGATATTGAATCATTCACTTGTATTTGAGCTGAGTATTGTCGGTTTGTAGTGTGTTGTTTTTTTTCCAAAGCCTATTCCTGTGATCTAAACAGGCATAAACAAATGAACTTGAAGTGACTTCTGACTCCTCCAAGACACACACACGAGTTTTTCTGCACAAGTGCAACATGAAAAGGGGAGGTGGGTGAGAAAAGGAGGAAGAAAAACCCAGAAGTGAATATGACTGAGAGCTGAGGAGATGTGCTTTAAGGATGTGCTTGCCTTTTGTTTCTTCTTTTCCTGCCCCACCCTGAGCAAAACCACCACTGTATTTGCTGCTGAATCAGATACAAAAGCGCCTATCTGAGCCAGATGTTTAAGCTCCTCTTAGACCAGGCGTAGTTCTCCTGAACTTATTTGCTGCTCGGAGTGTTACTAAACTTTCTTCCTTTGTGGGCAAGGAGCGTAATGACATAGATAATTTGTAAAGATATTGCAGCGTTGGAGTTCAGGCTCTGAGAGAGTAACCTTCATGGTTGGTGGGTCCAAGTCCAGCCTGCAGGATGATCTCAGTATTCATAGGAATCATAGAATGGTTTGAGTTGCAAGGGACCTTTAAGCCTACTCAGTTCCAACTCCCTGCCATGAACTGCTTGTCATCCACCAGATAAGAAGGAGCCAGGTAACGCACAATGGAAGATGGACCCAACACTGTCATTCATGTGGGAATCCTCAGCCAGCATGTTAAAGCTGATAGGAGCCAGACCTCAACGCATACTGTAGAAGAGTCTGATCGTAACTGCTGCAACCACAGCAAACGAGAACAGAAGCTTCTCCAGGCTCTATGAGTCAAAATGCATTTCTAGTGAATAATTTTACTGCAGATAACTAAACTTTTTCCAGAAGGAAGATATTACATCAGATTTTCCAAATGGCCAACTGTTCTCACATGTACTGCTTTTTTTTTTTTTTTGCACTGGGTTGAGAGGCTTGTGCTGGAAAGGTTAACGTTTCTCATATCACCGGTATGTTGCACAATGGTTACATTATCAGGGGGAACAAAAAAAAACAACAAAAAACAGACAAAATGTACTGAAGATTAATCATCACTAATCAAATTCCCACGATGATTTTTGTCTGGAGGAGGCACTTTGAATGGCGAAGGAAGTGGAGCCAGCCCAAGTAGGAGCATCTCAATTACTCCTCAATTCTCAATTCTCCTCAATTGGTGAATGAAGGCAAGGGTTGCCATCAGTCTTAACGGGGGCTTTGATTTGATCGTTTCTTCTATTCATGTTTGAATTTCTCTTGGAGAATTTTGCAGGGGCTCCAGATTGAGTAGTGCATAGCTTTATAGACTTGAGATATTCAGAGATGCTTGAGAGACTTTGTTTGGGAAACTTCTTTTCTTGTTTGATTTTTCATCTAAAGTTTGGAACTTTCCATTGTATCTTTCCACAAGTGCAAAAGATTGAAGAAAGGGAACCTCTTAAGACATAGAGCAAAAATTTTATAACATAATAGAATAAAAAATTAAGCACAGAGGCTTATTGTCAGAGATCCATCTTTCACTGCATACAGATGTTTGGGGACTGAAGCTATTGCACTGCATGGATGTTTTAACTTGGGTAGGTGGGATTCCCAGGGCTTGCTTTGCACCCAGATGGAATCGACGAGGAATATGAGCTCTGTCAGCTCTGTGAGTTAGGACACTATATGCACGCAGCAATGGCAAATGTAAGACACAGTGAGCACAGCTGCACAGCCTCAGAGAACGGGGAGGAGAGATGTGTATGATGTTGATCCCTCACTGTGTCCATTCCTTAGGGCTTGGGAGGGAAGAATATTCAGCCTTCAGACATCACATTATGCACTTAAGAAGGAAAGAGACTAGAGGGTGATGGTTTTATTAGGGAGTGTAGTGAGAGGACGAGAGGGAATGAATTTAAACTAACGATTTAGATTAGACGTTAGGAAGAAATTCTTCACCATGATGGTGGTGAGGCATGGGCACAGGCTGCCCAGAGAAGCTGTGGATGCCCCATTCTTGTGGACGCTCAAAGCCAGTCTGCATGGGACTTTGGACAACCTGATCTGGTAGGATGGAAGGTTAAATAGAAATTACTAGTGGTTCAAAAAGGGCTTGAAAAGGCATCAGATACTTCTTTTAAAAAGAGTGT